AAATAAAAACGGACACTATTGCGTGCCAGGGTAGGTGTTGAAGTTTTTCAGGAGGAATTTTTTAGGAAGTCTACATGAGGCTAACAGTTCATTTCGTTTGTTAAGAGGCTAAATCGGATTGGCAAATTATAAAGTACTTCTCCCAGAGACATAAGTTACAGCGATTAGAGTCAGGGCTGTATGCAGCGGCCTGCTTTAGAATCTTCCAGGAAATCGTGTAATCTATGTTCTTGTCTTTTAGGTTCCAGACATGTTTACTTAGTTCAGTGCTGTGTCTTTTGCTAGAGTGGTTGAATGAAGCCTTGTGGTTGGCATATCTTGTCTTAAATCTTGGCATATCTTATATCTTTTTGTTAAAGTGTATCGCTACTTCACAAGTTGTGCAATACGTGGGATCTACTACTACCGACTTCAACTGAGATTTCGAAATCACAAATCTGCTATGCTCACAAACAAAACAACTTGTGTAGCAGCGATACTCTTTAACAAAACCTCACACACCCTGGACGAGTTTTCGTTCCAGCGCATTGATCAGGTACAGGCCCCTAGTGGCTCTGTAGAGATCGATAGGCTTTTAATCGCAAAAGAGGCTTATTGGAGTGCTCAGTTGCTCTCTTTAGCACCCCATGGTTTGAATAAAAAAAAGGAATTTAAATCGAAAAATAGAATTTGCTATAATTAATTTTCCATCTTATATTAGACGCTACTAATTGATCGTTCAAAGGCCCTTTTCTCGGATTTTGTCTGCCCTTTAGGTGTGGATTGGACTCAGAGGCCCTGCCAAGGGATCTTGTTATGATTAGTACCATTTAAGAGCCCCTCCGGGGATTTTGTTGCTAATTTGCCCTTTCGGGCTTCAAAGGCCTTGTTTTGGGATTTTGTTACGGTTTACAGTTGTATTTAAAAGTGGGCTCCCCTTTTTTAATGCTTGCCGCATTGCTTCTTTGCAATTGATTACGCCACCCATTTTAACATATTTAGTATTCTTATCTCTTAGTTTTTAGGGTTTGTTTCTTGTATTTTCTCCATTGCTTTCTTTGTAATTAGGTTTTTTAATTGTTATCTTTTTATTAGCACCAGTTAATTAGTCGTTATCTGTAATTACGTAATCATTAGCACTTACATCCTATTTAATGCTCTTTTTTATTTCAAAAGTTGTAAATAACTGAAGGTCTCTGACGGAAACGTTTTTTATTAAAATTTTTTTAATTTTTGAGGTCAGAAGTTGTCTATCCTCGCAATTTTTAAACTTTCTGCGTTCGTGTTTGCTGTGAGGTTTGGACTGCGAATCTTTATTGATCCTCCTGGCGCGGTGCACCTTTAATTTGTTGGCCTGAGAGTTCCACTAATGACTATATATATATATATATATGTGTGTGTGTGTGTGTGTGTGTGTGTGTGTGTGTGTATGTGTGTGTGTGTGTGTGTGTGTGTGTGTGTGTGTGTATGTGTGTGTGTGTGTGTGTGTGTGTGTGTGTGTGTGTATGTGTGTGTGTGTGTGTGTGTGTGTGTGTGTGTGTGTGTATGTGTGTGTGTGTGTGTGTGTGTGTGTGTGTGTGTGTATGTGTGTGTGTGTGTGTGTGTGTGTGTGTGTGTGTATGTGTGTGTGTGTGTGTGTGTGTGTGTATGTGTGTGTGTGTGTGTGTGTGTGTGTGTGTGTGTATGTGTGTGTGTGTGTGTGTGTGTGTGTGTGTGTGTATGTGTGTGTGTGTGTGTGTGTGTGTGTGTGTGTGTGTATGTGTGTGTGTGTGTGTGTGTGTGTGTGTGTGTGTATGTGTGTGTGTGTGTGTGTGTGTGTGTGTGTGTGTATGTGTGTGTGTGTGTGTGTGTGTGTGTGTGTGTGTATGTGTGTGTGTGTGTGTGTGTGTGTGTGTGTGTGTATGTGTGTGTGTGTGTGTGTGTGTGTGTGTGTGTGTATGTGTGT